AGCCTGGTTTAACCCTCTCCAGGATGAATCTGTTTGTTTTCTTGGCAGTCCATGGTACATTCAGTACTCTTCTCCAGCACCACAGCTCAACAAAATATAGATGCTTCCAATCACATTGTTGGCATCTCCTTCTACAGGAAAGGGTCAATAGTTCCCTGGTGAGGTTCCATTTCCCATCACTCCCTGCTTTCCATATGAATGGCTTGAAACTCCTTGAATTGCTATTACCACAGAATCAAAGCCACTGCTGTCTAGATGATTCCTACTCATGTTGTAAATCTTTATGAGATGAGACTGTCCATTATTCTATCAAGGAGTTTCTGGTGTATTTGAATGGCCTACCTTTCAGTTCCACAGGAGAAGAGTGGGCTATTAAACGACCTCTGGAAACCCGCTGGAGGGTCAGCTATGTGTTGGTTCTGACTCTACAGTAACAACAATAACCCCTGTGGTTTGCAGCTTGATACTTTATGCACTGTACCACTAGGATTCTTTTGGGTTGCTATAAAAGGAGCTCTGGGGGCTTAGTGGTAAGGAGTTGCACTGCTTCTGCAAAGGCATGTATTTTAAGTCCACCAGCTGCTCCCTGAAGAAAGATGGACAGTCTCCTCCTGTGTGATTAACTGCTTCTGAAAACCTGCTGGAGGGGCAGCTATGAATCAGTTCTGGCTCAGTGGCACGTAACAACAACCTCAAATGTGTGAAATCAGAATCTACATTTTACCAGAATCTTCAGATCTCCAAGAATTTGTGAGAATCACCAGGGGATCTTGGTAACATGTAGATTATGATTCAGTATATTTTGGTTGGAAAGGCAAGTTCTGAGTAGGAAGTCTAATGGGAATGAACCAATTGGTTCAGCTCTGCAGCTTCCTCATCTAATCTATAGTGCAGGAGAGAGAGAGAGAAAAAAAAAAGAAAATGTTAGTAGCAATGCTTTCCATCAAACAGTAGTCCTTGGAGGCCTAATCATGTCTGGTAAGAGAAGGAGCAGAAGATTCTAATTAAGGTGCATTGACACAGTGACTCTAACAATGGATATAAGAGATTGTGAGGATAGTGTAGAACTGGAAAGGGTTTTATTCTGGTGCTCACATAGGTTTGCTGTGAGTCAGAATTGGCTCGGTGACATCTAACTACAGAGAGATGTATGCTCTCTTCATACCTTTTCAATCTGTATGCTGAACATGTATCATTTGAGATGCTGGGTTTTTGTGAAGAATGTGGCATCGGGATTGAAGGAAGACTCAACCCGCATTATGCAGGTGACATGACAACCTTGCTCATCAAAACTGAGGAAGACTTGAAGCATTTGCTGCAGGAGATCAGGGATAGCAGGCTTCTTGGATTACACCTCAACATGAACCAAACAAATCTTCACCACTGGGTCAAAAGGCAACATCATGATAGATGGAGAAAAGATTGAATATAAATAATTTGTTGTTTATTTTTTTAAATTTTTTT